CTTGAGGTCCCTTCCAACCTGGCATTCTATGATTAAATCATAAAAAGTACATGCCCTCAGGTCGCAAAATAAGGAAATACTCCAACAACCCAAACTTTGGTTTTTAGGATTATGCCATGGAGACCTGATCTTAACCAAGTGCTGTTCAACATCTGTTTCTAGTGATTTATGCTACCATGACCTCCTTCCCTATGAGCAGGTGACAGCAGGAACAGTAAGAAGGCCAGGGTACTGCTTACAAATTGCCCGGTGAGATGGTCAGAATCCATCCAAGCACATTTCAATTACTCGTCTGTCCTTAGAAGACTATGGGGGACTGATTTCTGGGGATAAATTTTGGCACTGGTAGACAGCACACACTGCATCTGAACTCCAGGGCAAATGTTTTGTGTAAAACAGTAGCTACAAGCCAAACATAGCATAGATGGGCATTCACTACACCTCTGTAGGCTGTTCAGCAAGCGATCCTCAGTCATTATTTCCATTCCAGCTTGTCTCCCCTAAAATCTGGTAAGACAGTTGTATTTCTGCCACACTTTCATGCAGTGAATACACATCTGGACACTTTTCCTTTATTTTCAGGTAGGCTTTCAAAAAAGGCCAAACCCTGTAACAGCAACGATCTCTTTTTCTCACTACCCCAAAGTTAACCTTCAAAACACATAAAATCTCCTTAACAATTCCAGTGAGAAACACACCTTTTCACTTAGAAAGGACAATCATGTTTTGGAAACATTCTCTGGACACGGATCTCCCTTTATCCTTCACATGCAAAATCAAGCAATGCACCTTGAATTTGTAAGATAAAAACAAAAGACAACAAAGAATTTGAAGATACTCTTCCAATATGATGCCTTTTCATTCACATCCCTCCAATTTCCAACAACATCAGCAGTGGTTTCAATAGGAACTATAACTGCAGCATCCTCACAGACCTATGCAGGCAAAGAGCTGCAGTCTAGTTTTATTTGTCTTACACCCACAGAGAATTCTGTTTTGTTTTGACCTCTCATTATTCTCCCTCACTCACTTGGCTCCAAACGTCAAATTCTGTCTGAGCCATTCAACATCTATTCCGTTGGGCTGCTTTCTTCTCTTACTGTTATGCATACATTGAACAGCTGGAACCAAGGAAAGGCACAATTAATGATTCTGAATTTTTCCAAAGAAAATGTTTCACTTTTCCTCAGTTTGAAATTACTTTTTGGTTTAAGGAAAAAAATAAGTGCCTCTCATAAAATCTCAAAAACCAAATGGAACATTTCAGATTAAACAAAGCTCTAATTTTTGAGAGAGGAGATTGATTTATGCATGCTTGCTTTTATTTCTCAAATCACATAAGAAACCTACACAAAGTCCATGTTCCATCTTGGTGTGAAACCTATTTCTTCTATTATCACATTGGAATCAGAATAGCAGAGGACTTCTCCGCTTTAAATATCTAACACCTTACCAGCCCCAGTAATCATCTGTACTTGCTGGTTTAGCCTATAGCCACAGATAAGCAAGAATGAAAGAACCACTCAGAAAAAGCAAGAGGATAAAGGGCAATACCTGCCATATACTCACAAATTAACAACTGGCTTTAGAGCACATCAGGGTACATGGGACAAGGCACAGAGCAGGGATTTCTAAGTACAAGCCTGACAAGTGGAGAACAGTCAGGCACGAGGAAACACTAGTAGCAGGATAGAGCCTCACTGAAGGTAGATGGGTCAGGATACAACCACGGTTTTAAGAGTCAATTCCACAAAAAGCAGTCTGAATTACCTTCAGGCCAACCCCAGAAAAATCCCCAACTCAAAAATCCAACTAGTGTCTGCTTTGTGGAAAAACCCCATCCAGTGCTCCTTTGAAGAGAACAAATGATATCATAAAAGAGAGGACATCATGGTTCAGGATGTATGGATTGTTCAGTACTAGTGTGATGGGGGCTACAGCCACAGTGCCAGTACCAGTCCTGGATCTGCACAGCAATGCAAAGGACTAACACATCGCACAGGAGGAGTTTCAACACCAACTGTGTGAAGACTTTAGAGAAATCCTGCTTTTGTTGGACGCTCGTTCTGCTGGCTAAGCTCCTAATTTAGCACTCTGCCTGTCCAACCGCTCACATGGATATTGAGCTGCACAGCTTCCTCTCTCACTGCTCACCTCTCTTTACAAAAGCAATGCTCAGCAAGCGCAGAGTACCAGCACTGACATGTTAGTGTCACTCACAGGCAACTGACCTCCACAGAGCATTTGCAAGGTCCCAGATGGACTGAAAGAAATGTCTTCTCTCTCTAAAGTACACTCAGCAACTGAAACAATCAGTGCAGGTAAAAGTCCTGCTTATTAACAACAGAAGTAGCTTAGGCCCAAACGGGTACGGGTTTAATTAGTGTACATAGTACGTGTATGAACACACGCACACAATTAGTCATACTTGAATGTAAATTTTACAGCAGTACACAGAAAATAAGACAAGGAGTATATGGTTTTTGAACATGTCCCATGTTTCTTAAATCATCTTTTGGTTCTCAAATATGCTCTTATAATAGTCACCCAAAAGAAACATATATATGGTCAATGCTAACCATGAGATGCAATAGCTAGAATTCTTTTTGCCCTTAAAAGCCATTTGTTAAATCCTTACAATTATTCAACCAACACACACACACACACACTTTTACAATTCTGTATCAAAAACCAAAACTGCAAGAAAAGTATAAACTATAAAGATACGTTAATTTTACACTCAGAAATGTATTTCAAACTGAGGAGTGCAACCTCCTTATTTTCCATATATGATCTGGCAAGTCTGACCATCCCATCCTGCAGTAAGTAGTAGAATCAGATAATCTGCATCAGTCTGGATTTAATGCAACAATATCAACATACTGGTTTTACCACCTTTGCAAAAACAATCCATTTCCATCAAGCGCATCTCACAATAATAAGCTTTCCAATTTTCCACAGAAAAATGCTTTTTGGGGAAGCAGGAGAGGAAGCAGTGAAGAAATACATTACTGTTAGAAATCTATTATTTCAACCTTCCTCGCAAACAAAATCCCTTCAGTGCAGGCAAGTGGGTTTCATGAGTAGTAAAGGGACCTTTCTACATCTACACACCAGCACGAAGTGCCTCATCCTGACTGGGCCAATAAATGCAAATTGCAAATATTATATTACAAAGCATGGCTTTTCCTCAAGTTTCTTCTTTATATGACACAGAAATGACTTAATGTACACACTTGTTTTTGGAAGAATGTCTAGTGTTTAAAACCAGCTAGTTTTTCATACAGTAAAAAAAAGGAACTGAGTGAGATTAGATATATGAAACCTCAGCTTCCTGTTCACAGTAGAGAGCTGCAGTGAGGTATTAATATGAATTTATCAACTTACAAAATGGAGGAGATGACATTAACTCTTTCACATGGGCAGTTTGCCTCTCAACTGTCCAATGGACCTTTTGAGTTCAACAGATTTAACAAAACCAAAGAAATGATAAAGCATTAAGCAGCATGACCAAACACCCTCTGCTTCTCAGCTACCACCTGACAAAACTGTAGCTCAGATTACCGTCTGAGTTTTCTGTCCTTATTGCAGTATTTCTTCAGGTAAGTCCTCCCAAGAAGAAGAGGCTTTAGACCAGCTACTTCTAATGCAGTAGGCAAGCAGAATTAAAAGATAGGAACCTTTGAGCTGTTACCATACAACCTGAACCAAACCCAGGAGGTGGATAAACATTTTTTGTGTTGCAATTAATTGTAAGTAATATGTGACGGACCGTGACCTGGTAAAGCTCCTACTCCTCCTATTGGTAGACCCCCAAGCTCCACAAGCTGAAGAAATGACAAATTTTGCTGTATTTCTACACACATTACAGCGTGAGTCACCATTAAACCAGGCTCAGAAGGAAGTACTCCTTGTAGGTGGTGTGGAAACAGCTAATTTGGTAAAAAGCTGTTACACTAAAACTATCAACCAACAATTCTATTAGTGTACTATTATATCCGAGTTCCTGACATATTCTGGTGGCATGTAACTTCTGTGACGGCATCGCCTGCTTTGTGACCTGATTATTACCTTTAATTCTTCTTAAACACCTTAAAACAACGCTCAGAAAATTAATTCTTGAACCTTTCCATGACACCAGTGTGCAGATCTCCACCAGGGCTGCACAACTAAGAATACCCAGCTGACCCAGGAGGCAACAGGGCATTACTATAACCATTATCCAAACTGGTTGATTCATTCCAAAGCATACCCCAAGCCTGGCAGCTGCCATTCCAAAGGTTAGCATGGAATACGTGTGAATGATGCCAATTCACACAAGCCAACACGGCTTCAGCCTCTTGTTGAAAGGCTCTACAGATTCACAACAATAAAATACTTGAGGTTGCTAAATACTGCTTGAAAGTCCCAGAATAAACCACCTCTTTTCATGCACGGTTCAAGCACCACTAAAAGCATTCAGTTGTGCTTACTTCTCCCAGTGGAAACCAAAGGCACTCAGCAGCCAAACTGTCCTTCCTTTGTTCCCTGAGCCAAAACGCCATATATATGCTTTTAAAGTTGGCCTGATCTCTGCCCCAGGACGAAGGAGCCAACCACTCTTTCTCTTTGTTACAATGCTAACTGCACTGTGGAAACCAAGCCATGCCACGGTTTGGGATCCAAAACCATCAAGTCTGACGTTAGGAAAAAAAAGAAACAAACCCTTCAAGGAGGAGTGACTTCCAACATAAAACTTCCTGTGGATGTGGCCCTAGGCAC